AGTTTTGGTAGTAGATTAGTATAATAGAAGTTAGGAAAGAAAAACGGTGTGTGAAGGTGGCGGGAGCGCAGCTATGGCAGGGGACTGGATTTCAAGGATTCCGCTCGATTCTGTATAGAATCGAATGAACTAAGACTTGATTCCAGGGTTTTAAGACCTCGCGAATCTATCTATGAAGTCGGATTGGTGAGGCGGGAGGCGGAAATTGCAGCGCAAGCAGTAGGAGCTGCGCCCCCACTACGAAGATACCAAGACCTGTATTTGGCCACGTTCCGGTGAAAGATTCATTCTAATTGGCTCGTGCTATCAAGCAGAAGGTAGCGTGAGGCCAGTGCGTGGGAGAACGAAGAGAAAGAGAGAGAGAAAAGCTCACTATATTGGGTAAGAGTAAGGGGAGCGTGGTAAGTGCCGATGCACCTGGAGACTCTTTAGCGGGAGGTTCATTCTTATTTTGCGCACTTGGTGAATAGCGGGGCGTGACTGTAGTTTCGTACTTCATCAGCCCTCATCTTAGTCTTGGTGGTCGTCGTGCTCGTCCTTATTCAGATGCGCATCATGTTCCTTGTGTTCATGCTCAAGTTGCTGTGATCAGAATACTCCTTGGCCATGCTGTTCTCGACTTATTGCCGCATGGCCCAGACGGTCGTCTCCCTCGCACAGATGCTGAGGGGAACGAAGGAATCTGGCCAAGGTGTCGGCCAAATATGTTGGATAATGGGAGGTGATTAACAAAGCACAAGGAACTGAGACGGGGAGCCGCAAGATTGGAAACTTACCTGTTCGGCCGGTGCGTGGCTCACTCATCGAAAGAGGTAACATCGCCCTATCTTTCTGCGGGTGTGACTAAGGAGGCTGTCTATATCTCCGTGTTCTTGCGGTAGATTCGTCCTCACCTTTGCAAATACAGTTTGTCTCCGTGCCATCTGCAACTGGCAGGTGCTCAGGTGCCAGTCGTGGTGTTCGTCTTCATAGTTGTCGTTGCACTGATCGGCGTGATCAAAAATTGAAGATTGTCTGTGTATCGTCCTGCTCGTTTTTTTTATTATCAGGCCACGTACCTGGCGGGGAAGGTACATCCTTATTTTGTGCGATCGATGAGTGTGTGCGAGGGGGGGGGATTGCGATTGCGAAGTAAGTATGCAAAGCAAAAGAAAGATTGGGTAGACGAATGCAGATTGGGTAGGCGAAATTACTTTGAGAATATATATATGCATATATGTGGATACTTGCCTGATCAGAAGTATGCCAATCTGTCCCACCATTAGCAGTAGCATACCTATAGGCACAACGCCTGCTAATCATGAACTGTCGTGAGAGGTTTGAATGTGGGGACACAGGCTAGGGACCCAAGAACTGGTGAACTGTGTCTGAAGGAGAGTTGGGCAGGAGAGGACAGTGAGATAGGGGTGTTGAAGTGCGAACCGGTCGTCAGACTCAGACACAAGGAGAGAAGGGGGTAAGGTGGGAGTTTGTCTGGAACAACACACAGAAAGTGGCAAAAACTCCTGTTAGAGCCCACAAACTAATACAATTTGTGTGACCATGGCTTATTGACTCTCGGGCGGATGTCTGATCCTGGTTTTCGGTACAAGCGCAAACTGAGGGATCATGTCGGGACATGGCAGAAGTCTGCACAACTGATATACGTGCATACTTTGGTTGTTGCTACACAACGGTTTGTTGTGTTCTTCATTACGTTTGTTGTTCTATCCAGTTTTTTTTTTGATGCGCACTGATGAGGCACTTTCTGTTCGCTACTGTGCGCAATCGCTGAGCACTTAGGTACTATTACTACACTTGACACAGTCAAGTTCCAACACTGTTGTCAGGCGGCGCAGTGCGATATTAAGTTGCTGAGCCAGCCGCTGGGTGCTACTACTGGAGTGTGACTGCTGGGCTCGGCTATTGCATCTGCTGTGCGGGGTCACTATGATTCGTATTATGCAGCGTTGAGGATGGAGTTTCCGTGACACCGAAACTACTGCTGCAGCCAGACACTGCCGGTGGTTTCGAAGGAACTACGGCTTGCGTTCCTTGAACTGGTGTGGCTCTTTGGGTTGCTGCAGCGGCCCCTCTCTGCGCACGGCTACTGTGTTTTGTGGAAAACACTGATTACCAAGCATTGCTGCCCTGGGTTGTTGCTATACTCAGCTGCTATGTACGCTGTTGTCTTGCCCAGGGTTGTGGAGTTCTAGTTTGCGCTTAGAATAGAAAAAGGGGATATGCTCTATTCGGACGTAGTTTTTTGGCTGCCTAATCACATTACGATCGAAAGGGAGCGTGGTGACCTTGGAGGGAGGATCCAACTCAGCAAAGGGGGTCCATTGCTGTAACTTAGAGGCCTGCCAGGCGACTTGTGCGTTGCATTCCGGTCACGGTTTTGGTCGTCTTCTGCTGCATTTTCCTGGCCATCATTGTGGGGCCCTCAGGCACATCCAGATTTTAAGGCCCTCTCCCGTGAGTCTGAGCGCACCTCTCTTGTATCTCGAGAGTTTGAACTTTCTACTCCTATCCTTCTTATTCTAAGTCTAGTCTGAGATTACGAGGGGAAGGCGGTAGGCGGGATTTCAACCCGTAGGACCGCGCCAAGGCCTCTGTGGGAGGTTCACCCCACCGATTGCGGGAGCTCTGTCGGAGCCCAGGCGGGGTTCTGGAGGCAGGGAACTTCAGATATAATCTCGTTTGACGTGTGTGACCACTTCCCCTAGCTACATTACTCCCCTGGGTAGCTGAACACAACCTGCTATTTTTGGTTTTGTTATGTATGTCACGACATGTTTTGCGAAAGGCTAAATGAAGAAATATATATAAGAGATCAGATAATCCTTTGAGAGAACTCATACATAATGAATGGGGGGAAGGTGGGTGAGAGATGTTTTGCATGCCTTGACCGGGTCAGCCCAAGGATGAGCCCCTCCGGGTGGATGTGGGCTCAGTGCTATGTTTTATTGATGTTTGCTGGGCTGTGTTAATTTTTTTTTATGGCTGGTCCTACCCGGGTAGGATGGATTAGTCACTGTTTCTTTTGGGGGTTTCTGAACAGGAGGACGGGCACCCTGGGTAGGGAAGGCTCAGATTCGTGGTGTTTATTTTAAAGAGTTGAGGTGTATGTTTCTTCTGAGGGAACAAAGGCATAAGACTAAGCGTACCCTAGGGTAGGGTGGCTTAGCCATGAGCCATGAATAAACTGATCAACCAGAGTATAAAATTATATATATATATATTATTGAACTTATATTTCTAACAGACCGGGCACCCTGGGTAGGGAAAGTTAGTCAATAAGTCAGGTAGAACTAAAGAAGAGAAGGAGATGGATGAAAAATGAAAAGGAGGTAACTGGGCAGACTGAACGTACCCTAGGGTAGGGCGGTTCAGTTGTATGCTCATGATAACATTAACGAGCAAATAATTAGTATCTATCTGTTTTTTTTTCCCTTCTAAACAAAGAGGGCGGATCGGAAGTTCCATTTGTTCAAAAGATCCGATCGACTGCCTAACAAGATAAGGAAAGACATAAAGTTTGTGTAAGTATTAGTGTCATATTAATTGTTGTATGGCTGACTAGGCGTACCTAGGGCTAGGGCGGCCTAGTGATAGGCTTGTGTCGTTGATGCAATGTAAGCCGGACGTACCCCAAGGGTTAGGGCGGTCCAACGTTCTGTTGTTTGTACTTATGTTCAGGCAAGTTAGGCCTACCCCTGGGTAGGGATGGTCTAATGTTATGCCATATGTAACCTTGTATAGGGCAGGTTGGGCACACCCTAGGGTTAGGGCAGCCCAGTCCTATGCTTCATGTCGTTAGGTTGGTAGAAACCAGACGTACCCTAGGGTAGGGCGGTTTGGTCATCTGCATTATGTATACAGCCTATGTTACATTGGACACACCCTAAGGGTTAGGGCAGTTCAGTTGTGCGTACCTTATTTGTTATTTAGGCAGATCAGTTACACCTTCTATTTTGGGTGAGTCTGATCGTATGCCGTAGGTAAGGGGGTCTACTAAGGGAAAAAAACTGAGTGATCTAACGAAGTACTTGGGTCAAACTGATGTGGGATTGTGAGAGATGTTTGTTTATGCATGATTGTGGGCTCTCACTCTGGGGCGTCTTTTTCGATAGGTTAGTTGCTTAGACGCTCGCCAAATGCTGGAGCCATAGATAGGTAAGATGGATGGTGGGAGGGAGAACTTGGGATAAAAATAGGACTGACCCTGCTAGGAGTTAGGATCAGGGCTAGCTCACAATCTCATCTAGAGGTCGTGCGGGCTGTCATTGATTCTAAATCATCAAGGAGGTGTCAGAAGATAGTCCTAAGTACAACTTGCTTTGTCTTTCTGTCTTTCAGCTTTGTATAAATCTTGACAGCCTCCTGTTCCTACGGGAAGCGCTGTCGAAATTTCTACAAATCTAAAAGAGATAGTCATTTTTAGGCTTGTAGAAATTATGAAAAGGCACTTTTCCTATGGGAAGCGATGTCGAAATTTCATAGAATTGGAGTTGGAATATTTTTCAGCTAGGGGCACAGCGACTTGGTACTAGTGAGGAAAACTGACAATGAGGTTAGTAGAGGAGCTAGGCTACGACTTGGGGAATATTCTCCTTTTTGGCATAAACATAGTAGTGGTTCTTTTAGCCTGTACTGTGATGCAGGTTTCCGTATTTCACTTGAAGGCTTAATCTGATCAGCCTAACCTTTCGAAAGGATTACTCTTTTGTTATCACTGATAACAGATCGGTTGCCGATTCGTCGGTTTACAACTCAACTTTCCTGTTTCTTCTGCTTCTCAACCTAAGGCCTTGGCCCTTGCTGGGTTTTATGTTTTTCTTGGGTTTCACCCAGATTCTTCATAAATGACCATTTCTTAAAGACTGAGTATGTTTGTTGAGGACTGGTGGGGAAAAGGTTGGGCTTGCGTGCATAAGGCAGGGTGTGAGCTGCAGAAGGCTGAAAAGTTTATCCCTTTAACGTGTGGTGTTGTTTGAATATTGTGTATATGATTGCAGGTATGTATGGAAGAATCTCGATTAAGTCTTGGATCTAGATGGGCAAACCACACAACTATTGTGAGAGTGAACTACCATGCAACTTTATGTTCTGATTGTGATTGTCTTTTCCTCATTTTTTTTGATATTGTGACAAGAAAAGTAGGCACATGTTCGGATAACCCTCATGAGGCTATGCGACCACCCGCTTACGCTGTCCGTCCTCCTTGTTGGGTTAGTTGGTCAGACGTTAGTCTTGAGCATGGAATTCGAGGTCCTTGTCCAGGACGTCCCAGGTTCCAGGCTTAGCCCGGAGGACGTTTTCTTCTGGTAGCGTTAAGTGTTCTTGTTTCTTTTTCCTTGTTTTAACTTATCTTGGTGGAACGATAAAGTTTCGGGCGGAAGGATTAGCATCTCGCGGGTGATGCGCCAGACAACTCACCACCGCTCCGAATCCCTTCCTGCCCTAGGGACCATCTTGCCCCGCACCGTTTGGGACACCTCACAGTGCAGAAGATGGTAAGGCCCTCAGGCCGGTTTTGCGCTCGCTAAAGGGTTGCTCCCCTTAGTGCGCGCTTCAACCGACAACTGAGCGTCGAGAGCGACCCCATGGCTCAAGTGACGCCACTCAGGTATGGGCACCACATAATGCGCCGTCATCACGACCGCTTGCGTAGGGCTGCATTGCTGGTCGGTAATTGCAGGCCCTGCGTCCTCGCGGCTTTATACTACACCGCGCGCGCAACACTTACCAATTTCCTCATTTAAAAGTTATGGGTGAAGCGGAAAGGACAAAAGCGCGTCATGGCCAGCAGACCCGAGTTTCGATAGCGTGGAACGACGCATGGGCGAGGTATTAGCCCTAGTCGGCCTATGGGGATCCGCGTACGAGCCTCCAACGTCTCGAACATCGGGTCGCCTATGGGTTTGATTTTGGGCATCATCCGCAAGCATCTTTTGTGTTGGCCTACCCCTTCCATTTGATAAGGCCTACCAGACTATACAAGGGGGGAATATGGGATAGGCAGAGAGAGGAAAGGGGGTGAGCCTTTTTCTCTATCTGCGTTTGCTCCCTCCTTTGAGTTTCCATAGTTGGACGTTGTAGTCCGTGGCAGCCGTCCAAGTCAAGCCCCTTGATTTTGGCTACCACGACAGCTTTGAAGCTGTCTACTCAACCCTCTGCACAGAGAGATGGTTAACAGGGGCCCAAATATTCGCCGTTTTCGTTGGCAATTGCAGTGCGAATTTCATCACAAATTTTAAAAACAAACGATATGAGACCATAGTGCAAACATCAAAAAAGGAAACAAGCACAAAAAAACGCAAAAAAAAAAAAAAAAACACTACGAAACCCTAACACAAAGACACTGTCCGAGTCAGAATGAAGCGTCCAACGAAGTCAACAAAATACCAACTTTTTCATTATTGATCCAAACATGTCAAAACTGCACACATGACGTACCCTAAAGCACATATATATCACACAAAAAGAAAAACAAGAAAAAAAGCAAAAAATCTGCACAATATGACAGTTTCAGTGCAATTCGGTGCAAAATTCGTCGAAAATAACACCCCTGGTTAACCACGTGTGTCTGCACAGGGTGCAGAAGAGGGGGTGGTATTCAACTGCGCATGGCGGTTGTCTAGCGTCGAGAGGGTAACTCCTCAACGCGCTTGTCAGCCGACACTTGAGTGTCGAAAACCACCCTCGAGATTATCAAGGGCCGCGCGGTTACGAGTACGACATAGTACCCCATCAGTGCGAGCGCTCGCTTGTGCACGCATGGCTGGTTGATATGAGGAGGTCCTGCGCTCGCCCAGCTTTTTATGCTAAGTCCAGCGCGCGATACCTATTTGATTCTCGATGCATAAAGTTATGGGTTGGGTACTGAAGGGGTTAGGAGTGTTGTTGTGTTACTATGTTATTGTGTCATGTGTTTGTGGATGTGAGTGTTGTGGTGTAACGTGTGATGCGTCATTTTCGACCGGCGTCGAGTTGCGTTTGGGACCTCAGCCCCCCAGTACGTAGATTCGCGTGCGGGTTCGATTTTTGGGCGTTCGACCACGTGTACCCCTTATGCTACAGCAAACAAGAAACGCCCTCGGCTGGGCCACCTCTGCAATTGCATACGAAAAGCCTTCGCAAGTGGTTCAGTAGCTCGGCGGGGATACGCCCACCTAAGGGATGGTGACAACTTCCGCAGGTGGAGGTAAGCGGTGCCTCGCGTGACCCTGTCCTGTCGTAGGGGCTCGTGAGAGGTACGGCTGGCACACTCGGCCGGAGCGGCAAACGCTCTCCGCGACAAGTCCTGCAAAATCCTGCGTGACGCGGCCGGGATGGTCCCCGTGCGGGACCGATGCGCTCGACAACGTGACCGGCATTGCTGCTCTGATTCACCGTCACTCGGGAGGAGATCATGACTGTGGGGTGATTGTGGACACGTACCTGGTTATCTTGAGGTCGACAGCGCTCCAGTACGCTGATGAGGGTCTGATCGACGTGCCACGTGGCACACTGGAATATAACTTCAGATGTGTGTTCAGACTATTGATTATTTGCGGTGGTGATCGAGGAGGGAGCCCAAAGCTGGAGTGGGCCTTGTTATTTATTCCTCTCCTTTGTCTAATCTCCCTCCTCTCTCCTTCGTCTGTGTATGATTATCCCATCTCATTCTATATGGACACGATTCTGATTATTGACAATCATCAGCGAGTTGACATAATTTGGGCTTGCAGTGTTGACAAGTGTCTTCACGATCTGGGTTCATTGTAATTTGGTATCGGAGCGATACTTCTGACGACAACGAAGACAACACGCGCGCGCCAGGTAAGTAGGTGGGCGCTCAACGCGATTCTAAACATTGAGCGCAGTACCGTGGTGAACGAGATGCGAGCATGCTGGCTGTGGTGACATTCAAGATTGACAAGGACAACGACGACGAAGATCCCAACGCGATTGCTGATGTGGCAGACGGGATTGCGATCAAGAGTGACCACGCGCCAGCCAGGATCGCAATAGTAAAGCATTGCGATCCCATGCTGATGTGGCATATTATGTCCCACGTTTAAAGACTTGGTTGCTGGAGATTGTTGATGTGACATTCTCGTGCGGCATTAGCAGCTGAGGCGCGACCGAGTCCGATACAGATGCCGACGTGGCCTTTGGACATCAAGGCTGGTGGCTGACGTGGCAGGCACGTGTCGTACACAATTGTCTTTTGACGAGGCACTGGCTCCATAGGCTGACGTGGCATTGACTTGATTGACTGGAGCAGCGACGGTATCACACCAAGACGCGAGGAAACGGCAAGTGGGAAGGACCAGAGCACACATTTGCTGATGTGGCATCCCACCACTGATTGATTGGACATTGATGTGCTGACGTGGCAAATCTGCTATGTTGGCACGCCATGGATGACACGTGACAGCCAGGTGACTGCCAAGTAAGAGTTGCACCTCGAAGACGAAGGTGGTACGGCTGATTGGACAGCTGTAGGGCCAGCTGTCAAGAGGGGTGCGGTATCGCATTGACACTAGGAACGACGCAAGAAAAAGAAGAAGAAGATTGCTGACAAATTGTTTGTTGATTGATTGATGTTGGCATACTTGCCTTGTCGTTGTTGTGTTGTGGTGTTGTGCATACTTACTTGTGTGTTGTATCTGATCACACGAGCCTGAGGTGGTAACCTTGTCGTTGCTGTGTTGTGGTGCTGTGCGTACTTGTGTGTTGTATCTGATCACACGGGCCTGAGGTGGTACATGTACACTCTTGATTAGGACGTCGTCACACAGGCAGACAAAGAACAACAAAAGTTAGAAGTAGAAATATTTTTTTCTCCTTCGGTCATCAAAATCCTTTCTGTTGTAGAATAGTGTGGCAGTGGACTTTATTATTGTTTATTGCAGGGTTGCACCCCTGCCGACGGCCGACCCCGACCACCAACCGTATTGCAGCCGATCAGTAGGGGCGACCTGTCGGCGGTCTGCCGACCAGTGAGAAAACAACCATCCACTGATTTTTTTCAAATCTGAGTTGGGGGCTGTACTGCGCTTGCCGAGTAGAGCCTAAATCCGCTGAGAAACTTTTTGGGATGGGGGAGAGGGATGGGGGGGTTGGGGTTGGAGCATATCTGCCGCGCAAGTGTGTTGGTCATCGATGCGCAAAAAAAAAAAAAACAAACGAAAATAGTTGTTATGTGTGAGAACACGCAAGAGAGAGAGAGAGAGAGAGAGAGAGAGAGAGAGAGAGAGAGAGGAGAGAATGTAAACAAATAGCTCCTTAAATACCTCCTTAGCATTTATTTCAAACCCCCTGCGGGTTATCCGAGAGGCCCCCGCACGCAATCAGCAAGGGCCACGTTGCCATGAACGAGGTAGTAGTCATAGCCATGCTAAAGTCATGGCACACCAAGTATATATGTTGTTGATTCACTTTAAGGTCCGTGTTTCAGTAGTTATGGGACCACGAAGCACGCGAGTTTCTGGGCGGTAGCAGGCCAACTCACCACGTGCTTTTCAGGGCTTCCCTCCACTACTCACCAAATGTGCAAAACTTGAATGAATCTTCTGCTAGAACATGGAACCGTACGCCGCCATATGTTTTGTCTTTTGTGCAAGTGGTGACGAGTGAAGCAAGGCCCTTAGGGCCACTGCTCATAAGGAACGGAAACTAAAGAAAGAGAGGAATGAATCTTCTGCTAGAACATGGAACCATACGTCGCCATATGTTTTGTCTTTTGTGCAAGTAGTGATGAGTGGAGCAAAGCCCTTAGGGCCACTGCTCGTAGGAAAATGAAACAAAAGAAAGAGAGAGCTACAATAGTAAGTAGTTGTAACTTGTAACCCATAACTGCTGGAAAGCAGACCTGTCTTTGGATCCATAACATATATTGCTGGCCTGCTCCTCTTTCATACGAAATTTGTTGAACGTCTCTTGAGATGTTGGGACCCTTGCATATGCACTGTTGGGGTCCTCCAGGAAAAAGACTATTCAACAAGGAATACGTGAGCCCAATTTCTTTTCTGCGGGGAGGTGCACCATTGGCTACCTCAGCCAGCGTTCTTCAATTTCTTTTTGTACCCTATTTATTGGGGTGCGTCGCATCACGTGCGTGTGCATGCTTACACGTGCGTTATCCGTCGCACGTGTGGAGCTATCGCACACGCGATACGCCGCAGGTATGGGTTGGAGTATAGGGGGAGTAAAGGGGTGATATAGGGGATATTGGGCGGTTTAATAAGGATGTTGGGTGCAATTCGGGAGTGTTGGGT